CTTGACAAAATCAAGCATAGTCCAACAATTGGTACAGCAAGCCAGACACTGCACACAGTGACCTGTGTGTGTCCAACTCACTCAGAATCCAACACCATCTCCCTGGGCCTTTCATCCAAAGTCTCACAAAATTCAACAAGAAGTTCCTAAGGTACGGTACCAAACCTGCCAAAACCTCACAAAACCTGCTGTTGGAGTATGGCAGGTTTTGGGCAGTTAGGGTTAATGCAAGACATACCGGTACTTGTGATTCCTATTCCCCACTGGCTAGTGTGCATTCACCTCTTCTCTGATGTTCTCTGAACACCTTCATATATGAGATAACTCCATGTGCGTGTCATTTCAATGACATCTTTTATGTTCTATCAAATAAAATCTTTTACGTTCTATCATATGAGTCCCATATATCGATTGCAGCATATATTTGACATTTGTAATTTATAATGCGCATATAATTGCAAATTAGACATGATTAAGCTACATGTGTAACTTTGAGCAAGACTTTGAATTGATGCAGACATGTGGAGATTGTATTCTTTCTAAGAGACTACAATAAAGCGACTAAAGCCAGGGAACTGTAATTGAAAGAGTGACACTTTCAAGGGCCTGTGGAAAGTGTTAGGGCTTAAAAAATACCACAATTGTGCCATAAAATACAAACACCTCTACTGAGGCACACACAAAAAGTTGCAGCATCAGATTTTCTCTCATGTTCTATTTTTGGAAAGCTTCAAACTATCAGTAGTTCATTGCTTAGTACTCCAGCCGGCTTAAAATCAACCAGCACTAGGAAGTTGGTACTGTATCTCTTCCTTGTGTAGTTTTGGGCCTAAACCAGCGCCTAGGGCCTATGGAACACTTGATGAGGCCCTGTATGTAAATGCTCAACACAGTATATGCATGTTCTTCAACTTCCTGATGTGAAACTACAGACTGTATCATATCAAGGACACCATGTTGGGGTTAAGTGCAAGAAGTACTTGTAACCTCTGCTGGCAGGATGCATTCACCCTCTTGTAGTACTTAATCACCTCAAAGATAAGTTCACATGTATACATATTGTTCTACTGATCCTCTTTTATGTGCTAATAAAGAAGTGCAACATCATTGCAGCATTTGTTTGACTTCTTTGTAATCTCTGCCCCCCTTACAAGTTAAACATGATAAAGCGATTGCTTTGTTTGAGCAAGACTTTGAATTCATGCAGACAGACATGTGCAGACATGTGCAGAGAGTGTAGTCTTTTTCAGAGACTGCAGTGGAGGCAGGAGGGGACGTTGTATGTGTAAATGAAGGAATGGCAATTATCAAGGGCCTTCCGAAAACTTGAGAAAGCATTTATTGTCACTATGAATTTACTGCAAAGTTCCCCTTGGTAGTCGCCTGTTTGCAGAAAGCAGACCTTTAAGTGATTTTTCTGTCCCATTGGAAAACAGACTAAAATTGACGGAATTCCTCACGTATGTGCATTATACATGGTAAAAAAAACATAAAGAGAGAAAGAAGTTGTCCATTTCCAGTGTATGTGGTTATAACTTCTCATTTCAAAGTTTCAAGTTGCATTACCCTGTCATGATTGGTTCCAATTTGTATTTGGGTTTTACACATCAGTGCAAAAAGCCACCATAGTTTTGGTCTGTGGTCACTTCAAAGAAACCAAACATAAATAGACCAAGCCAGGAGCCCCATACAGCAGTGTATGCACAAGAGACCACTGAAATTGTAACAGTTGACTACAAATGCATTTTGCTAGTAATCTTATGAACTAGCAGCTGCCTACACAAATCCTGTACATAAATATGTACATGTACTTCATTAAAGCAATCACTTGACATCTTTCATGGTGCACCATTTTGCATCAGTTTAGATGAAATCTTATATATAATTAAATCTTACAAGATAAACAAGTTGATACATGTACAATGTACATGATAAAATTTGAGTGACCATTCTGCTTGCAGTCTGAGTACATGTACATGTGCATGTAACTTAATTGTGCCCTGTCAGACAGACACAATGAATTGGGTTGGTTTAGTCATGTTTCCTCATAAGCTGTAACTTTTGAATGTACTGAATGTAGGACGGAAACCATACGTCTTTAGATGTTTTGTTCCTGTTTCCTGTTACTACTGTACCTGAATTATCATCATGCATAGGACATGCTTTCCTGATTATTGTATTATGTATAAAACAGTCTTGTGTTAAAATGAAATACTAATCTGTTTCTGCTCATGTACGTGGCACATTGTAACAGGCTCAGGTCTGTAACGATTCCCGTCCTTCAGCAACTGTAGATACCAACATTTTCACCAACTGTGCAAGTGGGCATGTACTATTTCTCATTTTCTCCTAGTCAGTGGTTTTTCCTTACATGCTCCAACTGTGAACATCTGCACTACATATACTGCACATGTAGCGTGTCAGCCTTACATTTGTGCATGCTTGCCAATGCCAACCTTATTGCATGCATAAAATGCGTACGTGCAGGTAGTTTATTGTGCTACCGATTTAATTCAGAGCTGTATTTAAGCGCCAGTTGCTTACCCGTCTGCAATTTTTTCCTTTGAAAAGAAGTTACAGGCAAATATGTACATGTGTGTTAGTGACTGAGGTCATAGGTAAATGAGTACTTTCATTAGCACAGTCTGGGTTTTTAAGTGCCTTTAATAAATGCTTGTTCATGCGTTACCCGGATGGACTGGGTCAAATGTATTGCGGTTCTGAACAGTTTCTTTTGTAAAACTATGAGTATGTATGAACATATTGTGCATGTATGTTCGGTGTGTACAGTGAAATACCAGTAGGTCCGAGAGAATGAATCCAGTTTGCAGGAGAAGCGTTAACATTTTGGGATTTCCTCCCAGCATTTCCTTCCTTGTTCTTGCCTGAATTGCAAGGCAGAATTTGTTTCCTCTTTTTAAAGGAGACATGTCAATTTAATGCTTCCTCAGGCTGAATATAAACTACCGATACATGCTTTAATGAGTTGGTTTGCTGTCCGTAGACTGATGGTTTATTTGAAATCACGAGCATGTATGAAGTGGGATGCTTAAAATTGAAGTGCTTGTTGATTGCATACTGCATGCACAATACATGCAATTGGGTACATGTATCTATCGGTAGCCATACATGTACTTGTAGAACACACTTGTACTGTGCATGCTGAATAGTGTCATTTTTATGATGTATTATTGTCAGCCTCAAATGCTGAGGACCAGTTGTTCCTGGAAAGATGCTGTAAAGTGTTTACTGCATCTTTTTATGTACGTGTATCATCTTTATCTGTTTCTCCTTCCCCACTTGAGCAATTAGATATTATTGTTTTGCCTGTAGGTTGTGTATGTAGTCATTTTAGTACATGGCAAAGTACATGCACTACTGACATTGCAACTGATTGAAGTGACTGTTAGTATTCAAGCATTGTAAACACCACCTGTTAAGTTGTTTGACCCTGTTGGTGTTCAGTCTCAAATTCATGTGACCCAAAGTATATTCCCTCCTTCAGCTGTTATATCAAATCTACATACCTGTCCTGGTACATGCTCTGTGCAATGCACATACATGTACATGTACCTTAAATGGTTGGACACTTTGAGATATATTGCCAAAGCGAGATGACAGTGGTTCATATTTGTCAGGAATAGTGCATGCACTCTCAACACGATCATAGCACAAATCAGATGAAAGTTTCTGTTACCATCTTTACCACCATTTATTCTTGGAGGGAGGGGATGTGATTGATTGTGTTTTAGTGCAATTTCCCTGCAAAATGGCCACCCTCGGTACAGAAGTTCTGAAGCCTGTCACAATTTCCAAAAATAATCCCTTCATTTCATTTTACTGCAAGGGGTTGCTTTCACCCAAATATGTCTGTTATAAGCTAATCGTGCAGCTCAGAGTCGAGATCCTCAAAATTACTCGTCATCAGGCACCTAGGCCGCTAACTTATAATCTAGGTCATTCATTTCCTGTGTCCTTCTGGAAAGAAAAGTTGCCAGAGTGGTTCCTCAGAGTGTTGGGTCATAATCTGCATCATTGGTTCCCAATTTCTCTTCCTGTAGACCATATGAACAGAGCTTCGTTGCATGGATTTTGGCAGAGATCGGCCGATTCAAGCACAGCTTAAGCACTGTATCACTCCTTTCACCTTAAATACTTCTTGATCCTCCTCAGCCCCGAGCCTATGACATCTGGCAGCAAGGGGAGCGTCGGCACATCAGCGAGCTGATTGAGAGCTTCTGGCAATTCTCACTTCCTTCCCCAGTGACCAGCATGGTCAAACCCAGCTACTGGCAGAGTGTGCACGAAGAGTACACTGACCTCATGGTCAGGCTCATAAGGTGAAGCATCATCACTAAATCCCTATCCTTCTGGCAGCCAATTTCACAAAACTTGCCAAAACCTTCCGTGCATGTAAGCCTTATACCACAAATTTGTGGTGTTTGGCCAAACTTACATCACAGAAAATGACTGTGTAAATTACTCCACAATTTGCTGCTCAATTCACTGACTTGTGCAGTGCATAATTTTCAGGGAATGGTAAAATATTTGTGGCTCAAGTCTGACCTAAAGTTTTGTGAAATTGGCTACAGATCCTTACATTCCGTCAGGAGATTTTTCATTGTTTTTGCATTGTTAAGAAAGGTAAAAGATACACATGCGTGGCCCAGAACAGCCATAATTATTTTTTGGAAATGGGTATTCAGGAAGGTTCCTTGCAGATTAAAAGTGCTGGAGAGGTCATTCTTGTGTTTAAATTTTACAACTGTACTGTTTTCTCTCTAACACATTTTAACTCAAGCAAATTTCCCTACAAATGTCTTGTGATGTCAAATTCACTCTGCTTTCACATGTTCCTGACAATGTACATGTATGCACCTACACTATTTCAGCAGAAAAATTTCTTAAATCATTCAAGTAGATTTGGATCTGTAGGAAGTTCACAATTAATCAGCAGCACTGGCCCAGAACATTTGATGGCATTGGACGCCGTCACTTTTTGTTTTCTTATCTAAAGTAAATAGCAGGATTGCCCCAGAGAGGAAGTCCATCGTTAGATAAACCCAATGTCTGCCATACCGGTAGTTATTCATGACAAAATGATAAGTGAATTGAAGGACTTATTGGGACAAAATTGTTGACCGGATTATATCTAGGCAACTTTAATACTGTCGAACCTCGTTAATAAGAGGTTCTTCGGACTTGGTAAATTACTTTGTTACAACAGGAACCTTGTATTATCAGGAATGAAAACAATTAAAAAACAAAGGATTGGGACCTAACATCGTCCTTCTTGTAAGCAGAATCTTGTATAAACAGTGCTCTTATTAACCAGGTTTGACTGTACACTGAATCAGTTCTCTGGTATGATTGTGAGTGCTCACGTGAAAAACAGTGAGCAGTCAAATAGTGCCAGATGCATAGAGGCAAAGTTGAAGTCTGTTAGGTTTGTTGTTTGTTCACCATTGTGTGCTTCATTGTTCTTCTAGGCTTGACAGGAGACAAGCAGTCAACAGCTTCTCAGCCTCCCTGCTAAGATCAACATCAAGAAGATTGCTCAAAGAATTTGGACTTCGCTATGGAGTGGTAAGAGAGTTAACTGTGTTGACGACATGCTGCAGTTCATTTGGCCCTTAGTATTGAGAGGGAGTTTAAAGTTCTGCTTAGACTTTTTGACAAAAAGCAGAAAGCTGTTGAGTGATCCCTGTTCACCACTTCTACCTTTGTGTCATTGCTAATGTTGCTTGCATCATGTCCTAATAGGCGCATGATCCCTCTGTATATTGTGTTCGGAGTTTCATTGCTTGTAATGTCTTTTGCACCTTGAACAAAGATGTTGAGAAATGGGAAGTCCCATTAACATAGGGCCGGGTATCTCAGTGGTAGAATTCCAGTATGGTGTCCCAGAGGTCGCTGGTTCAAATCCTAATACATTCAATTTGTTTGCTCATCATTATAAACTCAGGAACACTATTCTTTCAATCAATCCTCTACCAATGCCATCGAGAGTTCCGTTGAACTAATTGTAATGAAACCACAATTCTTCATCTTGTCCACACAGGGGGAATTATACAGAAGGATTGTGTTCCTAGAATACCTTGCGAGTAATGAGTAAGTTACAATCCAGTCTGGCCATCCGTCTTCCCGCGATTTCCAAGAGAAAACGTCCCCAAAATAATTATCCCCAAAATAGTTTTTCAGCCAGGGGCATACATGTCCAAGCTGTGTACATATTGTTGGCCACTGAGGCTGTGGTGTCCACAAAGGTTTGTACTGAAAGTACCCCATCAAATTGTTCATGTGAGCTCTGAAGCTTTTCGTGGTGGAGGCAGCAAATTAGTTATAGACGTTTGCAGTAGCACCATGCAGGACATCTCTTTCTGAGCATGTGTGGTTCTGAAAAGAACCAGAGGATATTATACATTTCTGTCGTCAGGAGAAAGAGATGTCCATGCAGCCTGCTTCCCCAAACCTCTATAATTAAAACGTTCATATCCTGTCATTTGCCCTTCCAAATTTAATCCTTGATTTGGCTAAGTTCTCAAAGATACATGACTGCAGAGCCTATATAGTTATTGCCGTACTTTAATAATATACTTGGTGCTGGATATAAATAAAGGCAATGGCCCCTTACAATGGCACAGAAGTTATGGAATGATAGTGGCTTTGTACAATAGTTATCACAGTGCTTGCCGCCATTGTCAAGGGGCACTTTATTTGACCGGTGGCAGTGTTACCGTGGTCAGCGGATTCGTGTATAATGCCCCAGTTTGTCGAGTGCAGAATACAGTGTTGTTGCATCCGTCACAGTTCAAAAACCGAATCAAGTCACAGGTCTGGTCATGAGGAGCAGGGCATGATGTCCCGAGATTAACAAGGGAATACCATTTGCCACAGCGTGATCGGGTAACTTACTAATTTTTTTGAGACTGGGCCAACTTGTGAAAGGCATGTCGGGACATGGGAGTACTTTTTATGGACTTGTCTGTAACTCTATGCAAAGAAGTTACTCTGCTGCTCAGTGTTATGTGTTGATGGATTCTGAACACCTTAAACGTCCCCACACAAAAAAAATGCTCTAAAGTGTGAAACCAGACATGGCATTGAACAAATGAAGGTTGAAAATTTGTTGCCAAGTCTGAGTAGATCGGTCAGGGTGAGGACAAAGTAGATGCACATGTAATATTTTTGGCATAACGTCAATTTTTTAAAAGACAGAGTATGTAACATTGCATGTAGTGTTTTGCTGTAAATTGTGCTTGGCATTTTTTTCTGGGTGTCAACCAATAATATTCTGAACATCCATTGGATACTATTCCTAACACTCCCTTTAACCGTAACCCCTAGGGTGTATGTAAAATCATATTGAAATTGGAGGATTTGGGACTGTTAGGGTTAA